TGGGGCCATGGGTCCATTTCTTGATCCTAAGAGGCTTCCTGGACATCTTCCCCAGTCGACCTTCCTCCTCCTTTCCCCCTCATCCTCGCATAACATGCGTTCCTCCAGCCAGATCAGAGCATTCAACTGGCGAGGTGGAGAAGCTGGCGTAATCTCAGGATTGGCCTGACTTATCTGATGGCGATAGCCAGGATCAGGAAGTAGGGGCACCAGCATATCACAGATGCCAAGGATTTGACCTATGTAGTGTCCACACCCACTTCCTGGTTTCCCCTTCAAGACAGGATCATTTAGCCTCCTGAGGTGCTGAAATAGGATGCGGTCCCAGACAGCCTGCAGCTGGAGGCACGGCACTGTTGAACTTGCGTGTAGTCACTAGATAGACAGGGAGCCCTGAGTCTTATCATGGGCTAGAGTCCCTGAAGAGCCTCAGGAAGCAGAGCCCAAGCTGATGAGGGCCTTTGGACCAAGAATGGGACTAGAGCTTCTTTATGATGTTTGCTGAGAGCGTATTTGACAGTTGTCCTGTACTTAATGAAAGGAAGAGGTGATGGCTCAGAATGAGAGGGAGGAGCTCTCGTGTCTATGGCTGTAAATTCCGGCAGCAAGGAGTAGAGCAGGTTTGTGCAGAGGGTTGGGGGTGGTGACAGGGACAGATGCCAGAGCTGGTTCTTCACTGGTCTCTTACCTTTCTCTAGCACCTGCCCTAGATAAATAAGAAATCGGTCACCAACTCTTTCAGATCCGGCTTTAAGGTTTCAAGGCCAGGCCAGGCCACTGGGACTAGGACACCTCTGCTCAGAGACTCCCATCCAGTCACCGCCCATCCCCATCAGCACCATCTTGGTGCTTATGGGCCTATGGGAGTGGGGAAGGGTATGGAACTTGGGGGGCTATCTCTCATGCCTTGGGAAGAGTTTCTGGGTGAGCTTTTCACGAGGACAATGGACTCACACTTCGTGGAAGCCCCTCTGAAAGCTCTGTCCAGCCTGTTGGGCTCCTGAGTCTCTAGCCTTCCTTTTCTTTTGATCCACTGTTGCTGACCTGTTGCCGATCTCTTACATGTCTATTAGCTTCTAAGGGGTGTCTCTGGAGAGTAAGGTTGGGGCTGGTCTGCAGAAAAAAATGACTTCGATGTCCCTAAGAACCCCTTTGCATTCTTTTAAGTGCTCTCCTTCCCTGGATATCCAGAACCCGCTTGCTACCCAGAATCCCTTCCATTAGGAGTAAATGAACTGGCCTTTTTACTAGTCTCCTGGTCTCACGGCCACCACCCAGACTGGTATATTCCCTGTCCCTTCCTTTTATTCCTATGACCACACCTTCGTTGCCTATCACCTCGCCTCCCCACCAGCCCTACCCAGTAAAGCTGCTCTCTCCATTGCAACTGACCCAGCCTCCTCCATTTCTCCAGTCCGTGTAACTCCCATATGCTTAATCAAGACTAACTGCCCAAACTTTGTGGTCTGCTACTTTAGGCTGCCTTCCCTCTCTAACTTTAAACCTTTTTACGTTGGCCTAATCTTTTCTCTCTTAGGACTGGAGGGGATTTCAGATGAAGTCAGAACACAAAGCTGGTTTGACCCACTGAAACTTCATGTCTTGGAACTTCATCTAAGCTCCCATCTCTCTCAGCCTGCTGAGTTCCTAGTGAACATTCCAGAGGGACTGTTTCCTGTCTTTTCCACCTTCTCAAGATCCTAATTTCATCTTACCCCATGATCTCTTAAGATTTACCTTGCTTCCTGGAAAATGGACGTGTGATATCTCAGCTTCCATTTTCTTTATTTACAATAACTCGACTTCTATATCTACCTTCTCTTTCTCCGTTTCTTCCCTGCAGTCTCAGAATGAGGTGGCCCTCTTTTCTGTTCTTTTGTTGATGTCTCTTCACCTCGTCTTAAAAACACGCACACACACACACACACACACAATAAAAACCAACCAAACAAAAATAAAGCATTACCACCGATACCTTGATCCCGCTGTCTCTTCTAGCTACTAGTCTATTCATCTTGTTCATTTCTCTGTCATTTCTAGAAAGAGTCCCATAAATCTTATTTCCTCACCGCAAAGTCACCCCTTAATTCTCCGAATCTGGTTTCCTTCCTACAGTTTTCTACACCTAGAAGAACACAAATTAACTCCTAAGCAAGACTTTTAATGATCTTTTCTTTACCCTATTGCACATCCTCTTTAAAAATTTTTATAAAAATAACACGAAAAAATTCCGCTGTGACATTAAAGGAAATTTGGAAAGAAAATATTCATCTATACTTTCAATCCCTAGACAATTATTTTCTTTTTTCGTGTTCTATGCTTTTTCAGTTTGTATAATACAGACATATGTATTTTATATAAGCGTAATCATGTATTTTAAGATTCTACAAAAAAACCCATTTTATTGTAAATACTCTCTTTGTGCTAGCTACACAGTCTTTCATATTTATCATTTCAATGGCAGCATAAAATTACATCCATCGGTAGATTATATTTTATTCGACTACTCCCCTATTAATGTACATTTAGGCGATGGCCAATTTTTCTGTGCTTTGAACATCTTAATGCACATGGCTTTTTTTCTTTTCTGTGATTCTGTTCCTAGTACAAGTTTCTAGGACTGAGATTACCAGATCAAAGAGATGAACGTTTTTATGAATATTGGTTTTCAAAAGGACTGCACACATTTTCAGCGCCGCAATGACACCTGAATGTTCCAGTTTCCTTGCAGCTGTAGCACTAGACTTGATAAGAAATATTTTTGGATGGTGTAAACATTCATTTATTTCATTCCTTTGACTACTCATGGCACCGAACACTTTCCCATGTTTACTAATTGCATTTCTTCTTGTGCGAACTGTCCGTTTGTATATCCTTCTCCAAATGGCATCTTAGCGGCAGTCTTATATACCTAAATGTATTCTTTATTTAACATACGTATTAACCCTTTGTCATATTTGAGAAAAATATTTCTTCTGTTTATTGTAATATTTTAAATTTTAGTTCCTTATTTTATCCCCTTTCTCTAAAATTTCTTCCTTCCTGCTTTTAGCTCTCTTATTACTTCCTCTCTGCTGGCCTGTCTTTATTTTTTACTCCCTAAAGTGAACAGAATCCCAAGTTCTGTCATAGTTATAGCATTTAGGGATTATTCAATCCCTTCCCCCATCCGACCCTTGATTTTTTCTTGGAGAGAACATATATATGCATGTGAATCCAATTCAGTTGACTCATAGTCCATGGGAGTACCTCAGAAATCTTCTAGGGCCTGGGCACCCGCCTCACACTTTACACAAGACAAAACAGGCCCAGAGATATGACTTGTCCATGATTTTGCAAATTAGTGGCAGAGCAAGGACTAGGCCTTAGGTCGCCTGACTCCCAAAGATTTTTCCATTACACCATGCCAACTCAGTTTGAGGCCCAAACTTTCTCCCAAACTCCACCTCTATATCATTAATTGCCCACTGGCCAGTTTCACTTGGCTCTTCCACTGTTATTTCCAACCCAAGATGTCAAAAACTAAACTCCCCGAACCAGTTTCCCTGCCTGTCTTGCTCATTTATGTTCATGGCATCTTTCCTCATCACCTAGACTTGAAAACTCTCAGACAACTTCAACTCTTCTTCCTCCCTGTTTCACAAGATTCTGGCATTTCTTTCTTCATCATGTCACTTACAATTGGCTTTCCTTTATAATTCCAGTGCTACCATTCTAATACTGACTCTTGTCACCTTATTCTTGACTGACTGTCCCAGCCTCCTCCCTGGTCTTCCTCACCTCCAGTCTCTCCTCACAGGAACACATTCTATACAATGCATATTGCCAGATTAATTGTCCTAAACGCTGCTTTCACAGTTTCACTCTCTTACTCAAAACTCTTTCATGGTTCCCCACTGTCTACAAGACGAGCTGAAATTCTTTAGTCAGAAATTCAAGAGGGCCTTTTCTGTTTTATTTTTTATTTTTCCCTAATACAGATCTCTC